GTATGAGTAGTTTTCAAAACTTTCCTACTTCTTAACTGACAAAACTTTGTCCCTCAAAGTCGTTTAGGATAATTTATCATCTGATAGCTTATCTATTCTCAAAATGTAAAGATTGGCTGAGTGAAGGGTGAAGTGAAATGCACTGCAATTGTAAATTCTATACATCGGAGTGTGAAAAAACTTCTCCATCTGTCCTTGCACCACTTGAAGAGACCCAGGCTGAATAAGATCTTACTTTAACTTAAGCAGCCAAAGCATCTCGTTGCGGACATTCAGGATTACATATCTTGCATTCTAAGTTTACATGTACATATTTTAAGTTCAATGATAGTAGTGGTAGACCTTGAGACATTGATGTTGGCATACATTTCATTTAGTTTTAGGAAGAGAGTGGAAATGATTCGTAACTTAGCCTCATCGAAAGTCAAAGAAAGATTGCTTTTGAGATGTGACTGTCGAATTTTTGTCTGCGTGTCTTGAGCAATCTTCGTAAAACATGGAGTCCTGTTCTGGTGATGATGTCTTCTACATGACGGACGAGAGCTCGACAAGGACTCATCGGGCTCGCGGGTCGGTCAGCCAAAGATCCTTTTGCTCAAATCTACAGTCCTTTTCCAAATTATGCTGAGGCGAAATGAAACCAAATAAAAGTTATTCCAAGGTTTCTCCATTAATCTCCCTCAACAGTGATGTCTTCTTCCTTAATCAGAATCACAGCGCTGACCTGAAACGAATGTTGAGCGCCATCTCGTTACAAAAATTGATTTGCAAATCTCGATATCATACCCTTCTTATGCACCATGTGAAGATGGCGCCAAGGTAACAACGTGTTTTAGTAATCCAATTCTGGTCATCTTCAGTCGTTCAGGGAGATGCAAAGGTTAAGAGTTGAAATAAACAGCCTTTTTGGCGGCAGGATTGAGTGAATTTCGCTGACATGGTGACGTCTACTCATTTGGTTGTTGGGAATCCCACTCTCCATTGTTGCATCACCAAAAGATGACTGAGGCAGACTCGATTAAAAAGTCTGTTTGTTAATTGTTACCGGCAGAAGCTGGCCTAAAGTGGGCCAAACAAAGACGTGTGCCAGTGAAAGTGAATAATAGAGACTACCTGGAAACTAACAGCTCGCCCCGGAACTGGACAGTCCGCCTCGAGAGCTCCGTCGAAAGACACGTTTGTCCTGACTGCGAAAGCCACTTTGGAGGTCTGAGACAAACGAGATAAAAATATGCCCGTTAACTTTGATCGACTCACACAAACGCACATGCATACATACACACACCTACAATGTACAGATTAGAGAACCAGCGTTCCTGGTGGACTCAGACGTGTTCAATGCATGCAATTGCGCCATTCCACAGATCGCTGGATCTTCAACAAATACTTCCTTTAATCCCGCTCAATCTTGAACCTTTCAGTAGCATCCAACAGAGAGCCTTAAACATAACCCATTTCTGAGCACGGAACCATACCAAATGGGTCGCAAGAAGCCGATGTTTTCGCAAATAATGATTGCTCATCAAAAGTTACGCTAAGCACAACTATAATGTAGAAAAGTAAACCAATAACTACTTATATGTGCATAATACTATGCTGCTATGGCAACTATAATGAGGCTTTTTAAGGTTCATGCAAAGTTCTATAACTATTTGTTAGCGTACATTACGCTGACTAAATTTGCAAAAGCCAAATTGAAAGTAATCATTAATTATCAAAGTTTTACTAATTAATGCATCTGACATTATATGCAATTAGAAAAGGAGTTGCTGGAATTTCGATTTTTAATTAATCATGAACTGATGACTGGCCAAAGAGATTTTTACGAGTTTGCATTTCTAAGAGGTAGACTATCGGACAGATGCTTGACCAAAACATCATCATTTGATGGAGCAGTTCAAAAATTGCGCAAACCTTACCTATTTTTCAGACGAAAATACCTTTATAGAAGTAGGGGGAGGGGGGAAAACACCATCTTGGTTTTGATATCTTCAAAAATACATTTTAATTGCATTAATTCTGGCCTAAATTCTAGTCAATGAGGCCTACTTACTCGGGCTTTTTCCATTTGCGCCTTTGCTTGGCGTTCCGTTTCCTGTCGGATGGCCTCCCATTCTTCCGCTTCCTCTTCATCCTCCTCATCTTCCTCATCTTCTTTATCCCCATCTTCTCCTTCCATACTTCTTCTTGGCAGAGCCATTCCACTATAGCCGGCACAGGCCATCTCCTCTTCATCCTCCTCATCCTCCTCCTCTTCCTCTTCTTCCTCGTCTCCCTCTGGGCTCTCGTCTTCCTCGTCGGCCTGTCCATCGTCAAATTCATCATCTTCGTCTGGATAACCGCTTTTTTGCTCATATTCCTCTCTGACTATTTGTCTGTGTTTATTAACCAAAGGGTTTATTCTTGAAGCTTGACCCTCGTTGTCTACAAATCCACCGAAACTCATGTCAGACGAGGCACCACTTGGAAGCGCGGACTCTCCAGATTCCTGTGAGATTGCACGATAAAGCAAAGCGAATGATTATGGATAATAATGTCATTCAATTCGGTAATTGCCCTGAATTTCATGCTCGTTAAACCAGCCTGTCTTGTCAAATCAAACTTAGGCTAGCCCAATTATCATGAATTCACAAGAGGACACAAATTCCTCAAAAGTAAAAAAAAACACTTGAAAATTTAACATTTCCATTTTGGAGAACAACTTCATGTGATTATTGTATTCGCTTGCTTTTGCGTTATCAACAAGTGAAAGGTTGAGGAACGCAAAGTGCTATAGAGCATTGTCATGTTCTGCGGAAAAGTTTGTAACAAATTGACTATCCTAAATTCGTGGTGTGCCAGTGCAAATACCGGAAACATATTAATTGCCTGTTTAATGCTGAACGGTGAATAGTGCATTCGTTTGTCGACTCCTCAAAGTGACCTGTACATCTGTTGCATAGCAATCCTAAAGCCTAATTTCACTTTTGATAAAATTAGTCTTCATTTGTGTTACTGAAAATAGTGGCCTTATCAAACTTTGGCTTCTCATCGTATAACAAATGTTATATTATTCTACATACTTCTTTCAATCTCAGCATTTTCGGAAGACAAACTGGAGAAGCGTTAGATGCTTTTTGCATCATTCCATTTATTTTGCCTTATACTTATAGTAAAACAAATTAAAATTCTATATGCGACTTGAGACACCTTCTCTAGTTTTCACATTTGCCTGGAGGAAAGTCCACTCTCTAGGCCAATTCCATGAGTTATTTAAACTATAATTTCTGTTAAATAAAGCTGTTCGCAATGGTATTGCTATGCTCATATAGAAGGGTTCAACCTGAGTTCATTCAATCCAAAAATATTGACTCTCCGAATGCAAAAGGGATAAATAGGTTGAAATTCATCGATAAAAGTTCCTTGTGACAGATCCTCAATTTTGATCTAATACTAACTTTAAGATGGCAAATTTCGAGAATTGCACATTTTTTAGTAAAGGTATAAAAATTATGACTAACATATTAAACTGCAGTACGGCTAAATACACTTTGGAAACAAACAAATTAGAGATATCATAGATACAAAGAACAAATCACATTCAGGGCTAACGAATGTCAAATATGCTTTAATCTAAGTTTATTAATGGATTTTCATTCCTTTTATTTCCCACCCATACTCGGGTGAAATGTGTTAATGACCTTTAAGGAAAATAATCTGCCTTGAAGCATTTGATTTCGGAGAGGGATTTACGCAATAACTCATGATATTACTATTTAAACTGGATTCCCGAAAATATATTAATTCGAAACTAATTAAATAAAATGAATCATCCACTAATTTTCATATCATTAACAAGGAAATTAAAAACAAGCAGAGGCCTTAAGAAGCATTTTATGATGTTCGAAATGGAAATGGCTCAATAAAATTTGTCCATCATTTTAGGCTTAATTAGTGAATATCTTTGATCACTTCATCTATGCATATGTGTACCCAAGGGCCAAAGATTGCAATATATGGAAAAAAGATGGATTTAAAAGAATCCCTAAATAAATTAATTTGAATTGACATTTATTTCGAAAGAATAAATGAATCGGCCTTGCAAGGTAACAGAGGACCAAGTTGGAAGGGAAAACGATGAAATGCGTGAAGAGGTCCTCGGCTCACCGCCTTGTGGTGCCAAAAAACCCGTGCTCAACTACTGCATTTCCCTTTATAGACATCAACAAAGCAAGAAAGCATCATCTACGGAAAAAATGCTGCATTATATAAACCCAGATAAAAGTTGGCCGACTGCGAACCTACTCATTTT